CACACACACACACACACACACACACACACACACACACACACACACATCTGGAGTCAGGATGTGTTTGACCTAGTTCAGCACAGAGATGGAAAACAAGAAGAAGCAGTTAACCTGACTCAGTCCGACCTAGTTTCTACATCCCGCTTATTACCCTAAAGCAATTTTGAAGCTACGGGGAGAGCTCTATAATGGTACATAGTCACATTACTGCTATGTTAAACTAAACACTTGGCTGTCCTTATCATGGTAATGCTGTCATGCAAATGATTAGCAGATGGAGTCATTACCATTTTCACAACGTTCAGTATCCTGTGGAAAGCACAAAAACACCCAAAATGTTTTGCTAGCTAAGATGTCTATTATTATTAGTCCAGGTGTGGACAGCAGTCTAAGCACAGATGCCCAGGTCTCCTCTTCTCAGCCACATTCTTCAGCTCTTCCAGAGGACCACTCAGGTGTTTCCAAACATATTTTATTTTATTACAGCCACATGTTTATCCCAACGATCAAACCAGCTGAGAGACATAATCTCTCCAGTGTGTCCTTGGGCTGCCTCAGAGTTTCCTCTCATTCATCCCAAACTACCCTTTGCTGTGTAGGAGTTTTAGCTCTACCTTGAGCCCCTACTGCATGGCTGATCTCCTCTCACTATCACTGAGGGTGACCCACACTTTGCAGGACCTCCATTTTAGCCACTTGTGATTGCCCCTGCCCTATACTCTCAATCTGTTCCTCAGCATGTGTTTCAGGTCCTTGGTGGGTGGGGCCTCACTTGGCAGTGCCACATGAGAAAACCTGTGACCCATATTTCATTGTGTCTCTCATTCTCCTACCTATGCATTGTGACTGGTCATGTGTCACATGGGGGGGCATTTACAACAGACCTATCTTCAAAGTCATGTGCACCTACTGATCCTACTGATTGCGCACGTCATATTAGTTTTGTATTTAAGTAATGTCAATTTGCTTAGTAAATAACTTTCTGTACACTGCTGAACAATGTGTCCACACACACACACACACACACACACACACACACACACACACACACACACACACACACACACACACACACACAATTATAAACATATATAATTTCACTCTCTCTCTCTTGCTCTGTCTTTATAGAATACATATACATATTCAATTCACTTCAGTTTTATTCATACAGCACTAAATCACAACAATAGTGGCCTCAAAGTGCAAATATTGTTGATCCTACAATAATACATGCAGAGAAAAACCCAACAATCATCAACAATCAATATGACCCCCTATGAGCAAGCACTTTGGCGACAGTGGGAAGGAAAAACTCCTTTTTAACAGGAAGAAACCTCCAGCAGAACCAGGCTCAGGGAGGGGCGGGGCCATCTGCTGCGACCGGTTGGGGTGAGAGAAGGAAGACAGGATGAAAGACATGCTGTGGAAGAGAACCAGAGGTTACAGTTTTTTACAGCCGCTAGGACACATTTCACAATACTTAGGTCACTTTTGCAAAACTCTTCACACAATCCTCCTAACTGACCGTCAGCTTGGCAAAGCAGTTCATTTCACATTCAAAATGCACTACAACTACCAAAACACTTCATTCAGGTCTCAAATAAACTCATTCTTCCAGAACACTAGCAAAGGTTGACAGCCGACAAACACACTTTGTCACCCACAAAACAATGACCTAAAAACACTAACAACATGTAGCATTACAGTGTTTTCTTGTGTAAAACAAGGACACATCTCTGTTTATAATTTCAATATATGTTACTGGAATGAATCAGACATCATGCAGAATTTGTTAATATTTGTTTATGTATTTTTATTTTCTTGCACTAAGTAATCCCAAAATACAAGAATTTGTATACACACCATCCACTGATACACATACAATAGTAATGCTAATCTACTCGGTCTTCTCCATTTGGCCACAGGTTCCCATCCACATCACATCTTATGTCATCTAGGGCAACACACCTAGGAAAGAATCTTCTGGCTGCCAGAATTGAAGGAGTTGAAAAATTGAAGGAGTAACACCTGTGTAGATGTTCATCTACAATGAGAATCAGCTGTGGCTGGTTAAACTGCATTTTTAGATTTAAAATATGTTTCAATAAAATATTGCTGTTGAGTTTTGCTGTCTTTTCAAGTTTTGCATTGTGTTATTGTTTTGGCCATAAGTTTAACAGTTTTGAAAACAGTATGTAAGCACATGCAAAATGTCCTGTACGTACAAAGATTTTTGGCAGTTGTTGTGTCTGAGTGAGAAAATAATTAATGAAATTTGAGAGATGTAGTCATTGAATGCATTTTGTGCCAAAACAATGATAACTGGTCCTCAGTTTAGCCCACATAGACTTCTGTTGTGCTCACTGTGTGAGGAGTTTTGCAAACGTGACCTAAGTATTGAGAAATGTGTCCTAGCGTCTGTAAAAAACTGTAATAACAAGTGCGATTTAATGCAGAGAGGTCTGTTAACACATAGTGAGTGAGAAATGTTCAGTTTCTATGCCATATGTTAAAACAAGCTCTAATTCTTCATGGTGAAATTTTTTTCAGATTTTATCTTGTAAGTGATGGAATCCCTATCATAATAGTTGGAGTTACAGCAGCATTTGGTATGGATAACTATGGCAGCAGAGATGATGCACTGTAGTAAGTATACTCAGATTATTATTTGTTGTTAAATATAGAACATTAAAAAAAAAAAACTTTCTTTTTTCATTTTTTTAGTTGCTGGATGGCATGGGAACCAAGTCTGGGTGGTTTCTATGCTCCCATGAGTCTTCTGGTCTTAGTCATGTGTGTGTACTTCTTGTGGACTTACGTCCAGCTGAAGCGCCACCCAGAAAGGAAGTATGAGCTGCGGGTTTTAAGTGAAGAGCAGCAACAGCTGTCATCAAATGAGTCGCACCATCACTGCCACACGGACACTGGGTCTGCTGGGGACTGCCAGCCCTTTGCTGCTGGCGTGTCAGTTCTGGCCAATGAGCACTCTTTTAAATCTCAACTCCGGGCCACAGTCTTCACCCTCTTCCTGTTCCTGGCTACCTGGACTTTGGGAGCATTGGCTGTTTCACTGGGACATTTCCTGGACATGATATTCAGTTGTCTCTATGGTGCTTTTTGTGTCACTCTGGGACTCTTCCTTCTCATCCAGCACTGTGCTAAGCGTGATGATGTGTGGCACCGTTGGTGGGCTTGTTGCCCATCCAGATCAAAGACAGAGGATGGGCCTGGAGAAGGACAGAGCCAGAGGCAGGAAGTCCATCAGCCACACTGCCATTTGAATTCCCCACTCTCAGTGAAGCAGCAGATGCTTTCTCCTTACCCTATTCAGAGTTCTCACCACAGAACAACACCACCTCCCCAAAGCCCAACATTAAATCACACAGGTCCATGCTGTGTGGCTGTAATGACTCCTGTTAGCCCTTCCCCCATCTCACCTCATGCTGACCAAATGCCTTCACCACGTCCACAGTCACTTCCTGATGAGCTCCCTCATCCAGCTCTTCCCCTGCAGAGTTGCATTGCTGATAGGACAAAGACACGCTCTTTCAACCGTCCACGCCAATGCTTCCAGGATTACCGGTCTCATATCACTTCCACCAGTATGGATGGGAGTGTGCACAGTACTCACCTGGACAGTCCTCATAATGTGCACCACATTGAAGCCTCACCACTGGTTTCTAATAGTCCACACCCAGATCTCCAGCTTCCGTACATCAGCCCTCATTTAGATAGCCAACTTGTAGTGTCCTGTCACAGCTTGGAACGCCAGACCTCCTGCCACAGTGTGCAAGACTCGGTTGCTTCCTGTCACAGTCATGCCCACAACATGCATGACAGTATCTCTTCCTGCCACAGCCTTCTTATGCCTTCTCATGGGGTCGACACCAGCCAGTGGCACATGTACTGCTCAGTCGATGACTCTTCCAGCACAAACTGTTGTGAGAGAGCTGATCCCGTCACCTTGCAGTATGAACAAGACCCTGACAATTTGAGCTGGATGTCAAAGACGGCAGACAAAGAAAAGATCTGTCTAGAGCTGGAACAGAAAGGTTTCCCAAGGAACACCCTACCTCGGCAGCATGGCACTGTGAACCGACGAGGACCCATTGGTCGAAACAGGAGTCTGCAGGAAGATAGCCTGTTTGGTTCAGATGCCACAGGAAACATACGGACAGGCCCCTGGAAGAATGAAACCACCGTATAGTCTTGAAATCCTTGGAGCAGTCAAACCTTCCAGCAAATGACTTTTTGTTTGGGTCCCTTTGCCTTCCAGGCCCTAAGACCACAGGTTGAGTTTTTACATCCCAGTAACATTTCAGATCCCTTTATGTCAAAGTTAACATTTTATTGTTTCAAAAATCAGATCTGAATAAACACACACACACACACACACACACACACACACACACACACACAAAGAAAGAAGTTCACATTCCTCCTATAGTCCAAGGATATGCAGACAGGCAAGAAAAACTCAGAAAGGCCAGTGACAGTCATGCATCGACTAGACGTGATCAAAAAAGAACTGAAGGGTTATTTTTTGAATGAAACAGACCCAAACTTTGATACAAGACAGCGGTGATAGTAAGATTTATTGGATAAGTTCATTTACCACAGATATTAATTAAGAGAACTGATACAAGCAAAAATTTAAAAAGTGAAAATCCTTAGAATTCTTACCACTCAACAGATACTGTGAAATGTTTCAGAGCATAAAAACTTACTTTTCTTAAAAAACAAACTCTGGAAGGTGTACATCTCTCAGTAACTTTACTGTTTGAGGATTCAACAATCTTGTTATCTTGTTATCGTGTATGCCCTGCCCTTCCCAGGCGCCTCTAATCCTCCTATTGCTCTTGAACAGTTCAACTTTATTTATACAGTGCCAATTCACAACAACAGCTGGCTTAAGTCACTTTATATTGTTGTGTCTTACAATACAGATGTTTTTAATATTTTCCTTGTGATTGCTTTGGTTGCTACCAGATTGCTGTGGTCGCCTGTAGTTTGCATGCATCAGAGGTGAATTGTCTCCATTTCCAACGTGTGTTGCACTTTTCACAGTTTTACTACCACTTATATCAAGTACTTAGCAAGTGTTGTCAGACAGGTCTGGCTGTTTGGCGACTGTGGCAATCTGTTACTGAATAAAACATTTGCAAGGAGGCTTTTTTGTGCAGCACTGTATACCTCTTTGTGACCAATTTTAGCTTGTGAGAGCAAGTTAGTTCCCGCATTTGCCAAGTGGTCGGGCAATACACGACTGTGAATAACCTCTACTGGGAAATTTTGTCTAACAACCAAGGGATGAAAGGCAGCTTCCAATCATTCACTAGTGGTGTGTGACTGGGGTCTAAAGATGTGCAGGTTTGCATGGACACAGATATTAGTGCATATTGTGTTAGAAGGAGCTTGTTTTTCAGAGTGCAAAGTGTTGTGAGAAAATATTTATTTGAATTAAGGTTGACTTGCAGAATTCAATTAATTTCATTCTAAAAAAGCACATAGTATTTCACTACTGATGTGGTGAAATAAACTCAATAATAATAATACTAATACTAATAATGATAATAATGAATAATGATAATGTGTCTGTGAGTGTTCATTCCTTTGGAATAGAGTATAACTTCCCTGAAATGAAATGTCTTTTCTCAGCAGTGCGCTTGCACAAAACCCTTTTTTCACTTTTCAATTTGGATATTTTGGATTCATATATCCAATACCAGACAGAAGTTGTTGTTTTTTTAAGTACAGCTGTTACTGAGACTTTGTTGAGACTGTCTAATGTTCTTCTAATTAGTGTTCTTCTAATACAGGTCAGCTCTTACGCACAGATTTCAGGTTTGCAGGATGGAATATGGTTTGCAGTTTTATAAATCCTGGGATTCACCCAAGTCTTAACCTATAGGACCACACGCAGTCCTCAGCAATTTCCATCAGAAAAGTTATTCCTTATATTATAAAGATCCTTCAGCAGCTGTGGCTCACGAGGTAGGGTAGGTCATCTACCAATCAGAAGGTCAGTACCTTAATCGTCAGCTCCTCCTGTCTGCATGTTGAAGTAGGCAAAATAAGGAATGTCAGATGTCCCCTATACATCTGTGCGAGTGTGTGCGTGAATGTTAGACAGATTCTGGGTTAGATTCTGGGTTACAATCCCTGAATCTCCATGCATTCTGCATGGGGTTTCTCCCACAGTCGAAAAAACATGCTGTTTCCCTTGGCTTGCCTAATACAGTCCCAGTGTGGGGAGTTCATAAGGAAAGCCAAAGCCCTCAGTGTTTGTGGGGGCAAATGTTATTATAAAACCAAACTAAAGAAGCTCTTTAAGATTCTTACCATTCTAAATTCTTTACAGGCAAATCACTCTGGAATTTGGAGAGGCTACCATCCACATCTTCAAACAAAGCGCAATATACAGTTTTATGCAAAAAGGCAGTAGATGGTCAGTGATTGCACCTTTAAATACTTGGATCACTGGACAATTTTTTAAAGTTATATATTTGTTAATGTTATATTTCTTATTGCATTTACAAGATATTTACACGTGGAAACCCATGGAATCAGAGTGAGCATGTGTGTTTTCATGTGTGCAACAGTGCATGAGTAGGTACATAGAAATTTAGTGTGTTTTTGCTACATCTGTTTATAGGACCACCCTTGCAGAATGAGTTTAGTGAATATCTTGGTGAAGATTCATTTATAAAGTCTATGGGTTTTTTATTGAGACATTTTATTTATACTGCCAAACAGAGTCAAACAGACTCTGGCCTGACAAGTATTGCACTAATGTGTGACCCTCACATTGTGAGATAATGATTCCAAAAAGTACAATGTGCTACAAAGCACAAACTTTGTGCCAGAATTATGTGCCAATTTTCACTGTGATGATAAACTACACACAACACCTTCTCAAAGAGTGATTACATAGTTTGTAGCACCATATCAACTCAGGTTTTAAAAGATCATCAGCAATCCTTTAAAGCAGAACACAGACTTCTTTCTATATGATTCCCCAGTGAGGTGTTTCATAAAGTAGTGTTGGCAGTTGAGCAAAGCCTTCTTCAGTAATTCAGGTTCCGTTTGAGTTTCACAGAACAGATAAAATAACCCTCCAGAACAGTCCAGTTCTGGCAAAATAAGTTTTAACCCCTAATTCACCACTGGTGCTGTGTAAATACCTTATTAAGAGGTATGATTCTACAATATGACCGAGAACATTCCAAAAATCAGGAAGTCCACTTGGTGACACTTGGTGAAACTAGATTCAGAGTGGGGCACTAGTCATCTGCATGACCGATTTGGAGTGAGGGGGAAAGGAAAAGAATGAACAATTTGGACACTGCAATGGGGAAAGAAAAGAAAGAGAGAGAGCATACAGACCATGAATTAAATAAATGAAAAAACACAAACTATGGGTGGCAGTACCTGAGACAACCAGGTGGGGTTACATGAGTGTTCTCCAGAAGTACAGCTGATTTCTTTCTGAGTAAGAGTTGAAAAGATAGTTTTAACCCAATGTCCATATTAAATATGAGCTAGAGTCCAGATGATTTACAGCCTTGGTTAGAATTTGTAATGACTGTCATTTTTGTCTATCAAGGGACAGAAATGACAATATATGTAATAGCCTGTGTTTCCTTGACTCATTACCGAGTGGTGAGAGGTGTGTCTTTTAGAATTTAGACTGCATATAAAAGGTGGACTTGAAGCCTCAAGGTTAGTTTTGGTGCATCAGCCATCTTTGTTTTTTGGAGCGAAAATAACTATTTGTAAGAGAGGGCAGAGTGCCAAGTTGACAGTGACAACATTTTGTTTCCTTTGTGTATACTTGGTTTCATTTTTTAGTTTGCACTTGCACTTTTACTGTTTCAGTGTGTTTTAGTTTATTTTAGTGTTCCATTATATTTTTTTGTCGTCTTCTTTCTCTCTGTTAGTTACTTGCTTTTCTATTTTGATAGCATTTTCTCTCTGTTGCTTTGTAGTTTTACGTGCTTTGTCTCGTTGTTCCTTTTCCTACTGCATTCCCCACCTGTTTCTTCTCCCCTCATTATCTTCATATTGTGTCACTCTCCCCTTGTCCTCTGTTGCATTGTGTATATAGCTGTGTCTTCCTAGTGTTCCTGGATGTTTGGATATCCTGGCTTAGTGCCTTACAGATCCCAAGATTTTTGGACTTTTTCATTCCTGGGCTTAGAAGCTTAATGTTTTTCCTGTCTTCTGCATTTGGGTTTGTAAATTTTCAAGACACACAATGGGTCATGATAAAAAAAGCCATAAGGCCTGCTTTTTTAAAACCAAATTTTTATCTATGAAACACCTCTCTGGCTTGTGTTATTTAGGATGTGGCACATTGTGTAGAAATTAGAGCGCATAGATCTTTTCAGTTTTATCCAGTGAAGATCATTTCACTCATATTCTGGTTTTGGGGTGAAACTGGTGTTGATTTGAAGAATTTGAGTCATACCACTCATAATGTCACATGTTGAAGGTTAAACACATTTTCACTTTTATGGCACCATATCCCACTCTGATCGAGTGACACTAACTTTTAGCCTGATGTCGATCACTGTGCATGTGTTGTGTTATCCTGTCCCAGTGTTTCAACAGCTTTAAGTGTCTTCCCGGGTGGGGTAGGAGGATAGTCAATGTTAAAATGCCACTGACACCAGCTGTCAAATGTGAGATCCTTTTAATGTCACATGAAATAAAAAATAAACAAATGGATAAAAGGGGATGCCAATCTGAGCACTGAGTGTTGCCTGAAATAAAGATTTACTGTGACATGCCTTATGAGTAATTGTTCTTATTTTGTGCAGGGTTCTCCCACTGAGGATCCTGTGCTCATCTTCTCATTATTTTGTATTAACTTTTAAAGGTTAAAAAAAAAAGACATGACACATGAGGGATGCTTCAGACAAAGCTGACTTGATAAAACAACTGATGCTAGATCCATGTTGCACAACCAAGCTATCCAGCTCATTGCCCCATATTGGCTTTTACTGCAGAAAACAAATGCAATACAATGTGCTTTGTGTAGTTAAATTATTATGGCACAAAAACACTACTGTCTCAAACTATACATAATTTACAACGGTGAGTCAGATTATCTAATGAAGTAGTCTGACAAGTCAGCTTGTTTGCATCTCCACTAAGTTATGAGTTTGCTAAAATATGGTTGCATGTTGTAACCATGAATTTTATCACTGTATCTTGATTTTGGTCACTACATCTCAAACACATTTCTGGATGTAGAAAAGCATAACACAGGTGTGGACCCATCAATGTGTGTCTGAATACAGCAATGTTTTACAATAATGTCTGAATATAATAATGATTTTCTTTTTAAAAGCACTTATTTAGGTCTGTGAATAAGCTGTAAGTTTTATATTTAGCACAAGAGTTAGGAGAAAAGGAGATAGCAATAGTGTTCTTCAATATTTAGGGGGCACTGCTTGTCAAATCAAATGCACAGCAATAATTATTTATTAATTATTATAAAATATTTATATTGTGAAGAAATATTTATCTTATTTATGATGTTGCGTTGTAAATGACAATCAGTTGAGATTTTTTAAAAAGCCCTCACCTAACTCCTGTGTTTGTCTCAGCATCTCTGATACATAATGTATCATCATCGTCTTCATCCATCACATCCCCCACACAGAGCGCTCCTCTACAGCCGTAGCTGGACTGGACTGACCTACTCCAGCAGCAGAGAAGTCAAAAAAATTATGCGCATGTCTCTGATGTGAACATGACCTATTTTGATGTCCTACTGAGATCTGCAGACATGGCTTTCTTCCTGCTACCCTGTTCTACTACCTACACCTGCCTGGACAGCCTGGTATGTGTACAGCAGCTCTTTCTGGGTGTGATGTGGCTTATAAGCATACATTTTTTAGCTAATTCTAACAAATCTGCTGCACAAATGTCCAGTCTTTCTGTTGCCAGCTTGGAAAATAAAGCAGTCCTAGTATCATCAGAGCTGGGGTTAATTGTCGCTAGGGTGAAAGCCACAGCTTTAACAGACTCTGGGATAGCTGATACGGGGTTAACAGGCTCAGAGAGAGTTAATCCAGGCTCAGAAGAAGCAGAAGAAACACAGCCCTTTGTTTTGTCAGAAGTCTTAAAAATACCAACCTGGGAGAGGCCAGTTACGACAAAGCTAGATAAGCTACGCGTATTAGCTCTCATCGACACACCCTGAACAACCCCAGAAGAAAAAGTCTCAAAGTTCAAACCAGTAATATTGTCCTTTTTACTCACCACAGTCGGCCGCTCTGATATCCCGAGGTCCGACTGTGGTGAGGGGCGTTGACGGCGTGAGCGCCATTTCCCTTTCGAAGGCTGGGCAGAACAGCCTCCGTCGGGCCAGGCAGCGAAGCATTAGTTGCTGGGTGGGTGGTACCAGCTGGGGGGTGAATGCGAAGCTCGTTCAGAATGACATTCTGTGCGGGTGAAGAGAGCTGAAAAGCCAGGGGAGACCGGAAACCAATCGCTGTAGCCAGTTAGCCACAGCTTGGCGAAATTCTTTCTCCTCATGCTCCAGCCACAAATTAATCAATTTGTCCACAGAGTACACAATATCCTCACGGATCTGCTTGGGCGGGTCGAATGCTGCTTGGTCCATGGCTGGTTCATACTGTCAAGGCCAGCGGGGCAAGCCGTTTGTAAATGATTAAAGGACCCAAAATGCAAGCACTGTTTCTGATGAGAGTGAGCTTTATTGACTGGGGCTCGGTCACTCAGGCACGGCTGGCTGCCGGCGGAGCTCACAGGCGCGTCACTGCAACTCCCCCTGGCTTCTGCTCCGCGGCTGCTGAGTGAGCCCTCATCTGGGGCTCTCCTCAGCTCTTTCTGGGACAGTGGCGCAGCTGCCCCTCTGTTGGTCTTCCTTGGTCTCTTGTGTTCTGGGGGCCTCTGGATGTCTGGAGTTTTGATCTCCTCCATACCTGCTTCATGCCCTGGAGGACGGGGCTGTGGCCCCCCCCCCAAAACCCCCAACAAAACAATAAAAGAAAGAAACCCTTAAAAAAAAAAAAAAAAAAAAAACAAGCGCGTCCATGCTCACAGGTGTACACACGGGTGATCACACCCACAAACTACACCCTTTTTGGCTCCTACCTCAAAGCACACTGTGTTCTGTTGATCTTATGTGCTGCACAATAATGTTTAATATTTAGTATTTACTGTCATATTCCCATATATCATTGTGATGTTGTTTATTCTATTACTCTTGTTCTCTTCTGCTTGTTTTCTTTTTTCTTTCTCAGCAGGTGATCCAGGTGATTGATATATGCATTTTTTTTCTCTGCCCGTTCTGTTGGGTTTTGTCTTTTGCCCTTCTCCCCCGTCCCTCTTCTCAGCTGTTTCTCTTTCCCTCTTTCTTTCTCCCCTTCTTTCCCCCAGTCAAGTCTGTCCCGTATTCAGTAAGTGAAAATAAAATAAACAATAAAAGGTGAATCAAATGGACCATTACGGCAAGGCTGGGATGGTCAATTTGGTAAAGTAAATCCGTTGGGCATCTTTCTTTGCCTTTAGACAACAATTCTGATGGCAAAAGAGCCAAACGGGACAGGCAAAAAAAAAAAAAAAAGACAAACAACAAAAAAAAAGGGTGAGGGTGGCGAGAACAGAACTGACAAACCTAAACTGGGAAAACTAACAAAACTAACCCGAAACCGGAACAGAGATGACACAGACCAGAGAACAAAACACCATATAACACAGACAAACCAGCAACTAACAGAGGCAGACACAAGGCTTAAATACACAGAAGGATAACGAGGGAATGAGACACAGAAGGAGGGCACAGCTGGGAGTAATTAGACATGACGGGACAGGGGAAACGAAAACTGAACACACTGACATCAGACACGGACCTTCAAAGTAAAACAGGAAAACACACACAAGCAAAGACACAGACTCAGAGATGCGGGCTTAACACAGAGACCTGACTACACTAGAAGGGATATACAGGCAGGGATGACACAAAACAGAGGGAGCAAAGAATAAACACTGGGAAACCAAAACACAAACAGTCATAATTCATAATAAAATCAAAAGTAAAATTACAAAACCAAAAACACATGGTCACCGACCCAGGACCGTGACAAAACCTATTATCCTGATTGGATCACATCCTGTTACTCCTGTTTGCCCAGTGATCCATTGACCACCTGGAGGGCCTGTAGAAGTCTGTACTGAGTTGTGGGTGTGGGTGCTGCAGGGACCCGTCAAAAGTCTACCACATCCAGCTGATGGAGAGGCATGCTTACACTCGTCTTTCATTACACAGACACCAGAGCTCTACAAAAAAGCTAAACAGCTCCTGTACAAAATGAGACAACTACTGGCTACTGGAGGATTTGAGATACAGCAGTGGGCCAGTAATGTGCCGGAGGTGGTGTCCCACCTGCCTAGTACCACCGGGTCTGACAGTTGTGAGCTCTGGCTGACTTTTAACCAAGCTGATCCACAAGAGTTGATGTTTGGGTTACGTTGGCATTGCCCTACTAATACCTTGGGGTAGAAGCATTGCCCAGTCTTCTGCATGGCACCAACTCTCCGCAATGTGTACAAGGTGCTTGCTAGCCAATATGACTCTCTAGGGTTTATCATTTCAAATCAAATCAAATCAAATCAAATCACTTTTATTGTCACATCACATGTGCAGGCACACTGGCACAGCACATGCGAGTGAAATTCTTGTGTGCGAGCCCCACAAGCAACAGA